TTGATCGCGGTCGCACGACATGCAACGGCTTTAGGGGCATGTTGTTGTGGGATCGTAGCCGAGACCAGAGCCCTCGGCCTCCGGGCTGGGGAAGTTTTGGCCGAGGCTACAACAACCCGCGGCTCTAACCCGCGCGGGTTGTTGTATCCAAACCCCCTTCCACTAGTTAGGAACCCGTGATGCCTCGGGCGTAGGATGTCGTGTGCCTGGGAAATGCGGCAAGCGCCCCGAACAAGATCGATACGTCGTTTTTGATTGTTAGGAGGACGACCGCTGGTGAGCCACGGCATACTGCAATCGCATATATAAAAAAATACAAACATAGACATAGCACCAATATACACAATTAAGTACGATAATGAAACGATCTGAACGGTTGAAACTGATCAAAAAACCGGCAGCATTAATCTCAGAGAGCGAACTTCTCGACTTGACCTGGCCCTAATTAGCGGCTTTCCAAAGCGAGTTTGCTTTAGGGACATTCTTAAAATTTTCAGCAAGAGCTGACGCATATTGTCGTTCCATATTGGAAGTCAACATATGGAGCATTGCTTCAAACCTCTTACTCTACAGCTTAAGCGCGACTCCTCGCTTGATCACCCGGACGGACAATTGACAATGATCAAAGTCAAGTGGGTACTTTTCGAGTGGTTCCTTACAGTCGCTTTTTGATTTTGTGATCAGTACTCACCTTTCTCCATCGAATGTGACCACATTTATCGAAATGTATAGGGTAGGCGATGAGAAGCGCCCACGCGCCGTTGATTCATCACCCTAAAATCTTTCAAGGGACATCCCTTGGAGTGCTTTACTTTATTCAGCACAAGATTAGCACAAACTTTCGCGATAGTCTAACTAAAGCTCCCTTTTCGGTCACAGCTGCAGGCATCCCTTCAAGGCTCAGGACTCTTTCGAATGTGCCAAACATCTTGTATGCTAGTAGTTCCTTCGCCAAATGCAATTTCAATTTGATCAATTTGCTTCAAATTGTAATTTGATTGGTTGACTCTTGGCCTTCAGTTCCACTCAGTTGTTCAGTGCACATATGCAAACTGTGGTACCAAGTTCAGACGTCTTCACGGACAAAAAGGAAACTCAAGTGGAGGTAGCGTGAACAACCACGGAAGATAACGAGCACCATCAACAATAAATTATACTAGTCAACAGAAAAAATTCCTTGCGATTTTGAGTCTTTATGATCATGGCAATCGGGTCCAAGAAGCGCAAAGTCCGAAAAAAAAAACTTCAAGTACTCGGGTACCTTGTAGAAGTGACCTTACTCTCGAATCAATCGAATTCACTCTCTAATTTCATTAAAATTGCGACAGGCGCCTGTAGTAGCAACATGCGAGAGATCCACACCAGGCGCTGCGGGAATCGGAAGGCTATCTCTGCGAAGAACGTAAACACCAGCTCTTCCAACTATATAGTTTTCCAAAAAGTTCTGCCTCTTAAACTCTGTCTTCAAATGTACATCTCCCGACTCAGTCAAAACATTCACTTGAAGCAAAAACAAATAGAACTCACAGACCTCCGTCAGGAAGCAACAGTCCTGGATCACTAAAATCTTCACTAAAATCTGAGCTTTCTCTACCCTGCTGTCACTCTGTGACACTTATAGAGAAGTATGTCCTACAAGCCACTCTTCCAATTCGGGTGACTTCACCGATGCTGATGTCTTAGGGGTGGGTGGTGTAAGTTCTGACTACATCTGTGGAGCAAATTACGCGATTCTGCTTATTTCCGAAATTTTTCGAGTGCAATACGTGATGCCTCCATTTTCATGTCGAAAGTGCGCAGTAAGCAATTACTCCGATGGCCCATTGTCCTCATCCACCGATCTCGTCGTTATACCTTCACTCCGTGACATCTACTTTGTAACTATAAGTATCTGAGAGTTGGAGTTGCCAATTTCCTTTGATCAGATTTCCGCATATCACTGTCATCGTGATAGCTCTGCTCTCAAGGCAATTATGGAGGGAGACAAGAGTTTTAGGCAATGCACAACAAATTTTATAGATTGGGCAAGGCTTGAACGGCTTCATCGGGTTAATCATTCATCTGTGTCAGCAGCCGGTGGTTTTCGGATGGGCACGCCGATTCCGATATTACCTACTCTTCCCAAATAGTATGCTTACCGACTCCAAAGTTGTCTTCTTGTAATAGGACTAAGCCTTTAAAAAAGGGAGAGACTTTGGGATGGGTAAGCTTTCCCATTTTCCTACTTCAAAAAATTAGCCTGCCCGTAGGACT